CGTTGGCGTTTCGAGGGTCTGCCTGGGACCAACGGCGAGGTGCATCCACAGGAATTTGCAACGATTGAAAGCCATCGCCCCGCCAAGAGTACGAGCAGCTGTGTTAAGCGCCTTGTTCGATCGATGCACTACTGACCGGCGCATGCGGTTACTGCGCGCTACCAACGGCGGCTGCCGGCTTGGGTGCCCGCGTTGTGCCCAATATTCTCTCGAACGCTACGTGCATTGCGGGGTCATCCAACACTGGGCCGAGAGGGGGCTCCCGCAGGCGCCCACGCAGCGCCCAACAGAGCAATGGATGCTGGCAGCACGGATGAACGATGAGCAGCTTGGGCGCAATGCAATCGTGGTGTACGTGGCGTATCGCACCACTCAACGCTTGCGTCACCCGAACGGAGCGACACCGGAATCTATTCGACATTGTATCAAACAAATGTTCCACGAGGCGGTGCGTGATTCTGGTCCTGTGCGGACTGTTACAGGCGGTGCTCCAGTACCTCGACAACGCAGGCGCCAGGCTCCTGGCGGTGCTCCAACACCTCGACAACGGAGGCGCCGGGCTGCACCCCAGTAGTTTCACGTGTGGTACCAGGACGGACAAGTTTTTTTTCTTCTTTGTGTTTCTCCTTCTTCGCTCTTCGTGCACCCATACCATCCACTTCCACGCCACCAGCCTGTGCAGACTACGTCGTCCCAGCAGCATGTGCAGAACTCACTGTGCGCCCCATGCCGTCCACCTCCACTCCACCAGCTTGTGCAGACTGCGTGCTTCCAGAAGTATGTGCAGACTTCACCGAGCGCCCATGCCGTACACCTCCACTCCGCCAGCTTGTGCAGACTACGTGCTTCCAGCAGCATGTGCAGACCCCACCGAACACCCATGCCATCTACCTCCACGCCACCAGCTTGTGCAGACTACCTCGTCCCAGCAGCATGTGCAGACCCCAGTGTGCGCCCATTCCGTCCACTTCCACACCACCAGCTTGTGCAGACTACGTCGTCCCAGCAGCAGGTGCAGACGTCACCGAGCGTCCAGCTTGTGCAGACTACGTGCTTCCAGCAGCATGTGCAGACCCCACCGAACACCCATGCCATCCCCCATCAAACCACCAGCTTGTGTAGACTACGGGACCCCAGCAGCATGTGCAGACCCCACTGTGCGCCCATGCCGCCCACCTCCACACCGCCAGCTTGTGCAGACTACGTCGTCCCAGCAGCATGTGCAGACCACCCCGGGGGGCCCATCCCTGCCACTGGCCGCGCCTCCATTGCCATATCTTGCACTCACGTCCATCACCATCGCCATGGATGTCGTCATATACATATACGGTGCGTACACTGTTTGGGTTCCACACGGTGGACCGACAGGGGGGCGATTGGGATCGGCCGGACACGTGTGAAATGCGAGTTACTCAATATGACCATCCAGACCGTTACTCGACAAGTGCACAGGCGTCGTGTTTCCACATGCGGGCTCCCTCCTCGACCAGCTCACCGACTCCGTTGCCGACCAGCTCGCCGACTTCAGCGCCGACCAGCTCACCGACTCCTGCATCGACCAGCCGACTCCCGCGCCGACCAGATCGCGGCCTGCCGCACCGAGCAACTTGCTGGCTGTCTCATCGACCAGCTTTCCGACTTCCGCGCCGACCAGATCGCGGCCTGCCGCGTCGACCACGTTATCTGCTCCCTCATCGGCCGGTTCACCTGCTCTCCGACTCCGGCGCCGACCAGATCGAGGCCTGCCGCACCGACCAGCTTGCTGGCTTCCTGATCGACCAGCTCTTCGACCCCGGTGCCGACCAGATCGCGGCCTGCCGAACCGACCATCTTGCCGGCTCCCTCATCGGCCAGCTCACCGACTCCCGCACCGACTCCCGCACTCCCTCTTTCTTATGTGCTCTGCATGCGTTTTCTGGTGATTGGTGGTCTTCAGGCTACCGTATGCACGGGCCAGACCCCACCACGGCCGCCGGCGGCCGACCCCAGCCATTGCGCTGGGCTTGACCGCCCGCCGCCTGGGTGGGCCCATGCGTGGCGCGATGCCGCCACGCAGTGACACCAGATATAGATTTCACTTGTCCAGACTTTTGTGCTGTAAGCTGTGGGTGTGCTCGACCGGCCTTCGCCCCCTTCTTGCCCCCCTCTGCTTTGTACTCGGCTCGTGTGGGACCCTGGTGCGCGTGCCGCTGTTGGTCTCCGCACCCAAGAGCTCTCGTCCTTCATGACGCTCGTTTTGGATGTTGTGCATTATGCCGACTTGTTCGACCGGGCGTAGTGTAGCGTAGCCGGCAGTTTCGCTCCGTCCGTTCTCCGCTGCTGCTCTGCTCGTTCTTTTGTCTCGTCCTCTCTCTTCTTTCTTTCTTCGTGTTTCCCTCGTCCCCCGCTGCGTGCTTCTTGTGTTTCTCCGCTGCCCCTTGCTTGCCGTCCGCTGCCTTCTCCGTTTTCTCTCCTTCCTCCTCTAGTGCGTGCGCTCTTGGCGATGTCTCGTGTGACATTCCCGGGTTGCCCGATGGTCTTCTGTCTCACGTTGTGGAGCCATCTGTGCATGGAGGTCTTGAGGAAGAACAGAAACCTTTCACTTCTAACATACTCCGTCACACTCGTGTGGCCGTGGGATGGGCGGGGGAAATGATGTGGGGCGGGGGGGCAGGGGGGCTCGCCGCTGGCCGCCGCTGCGAATGCCCCGGCGGCCGCGATCCAGCCATTCCTGCCGACCAGCCACCTCTCAACTCTATCCTAACTTGGATGCCTCTCATCTTTGCTTCCTGCCTCCAGTCTCTCACTTTCCATCGCCACCGCATCCTTCGCATTCCCAGCGCGCATTTGCCGCGACGTGTGCGCGCGCGTGTGTGTGTGTGTGTGTGTGTGTGTGGTCCTATCGTGGAACAGGGGCAACGGCGCCGGCCTGGCCGCCGCCGCGGAAGGCGCGAGCCTCTCCCGCGCTCAGTGGATACCCCAGACGCCGCGTGGCCGCGAGTACTTCGTTCGGGGACCCTGCGCCTGCTTGCAAACGAGTGCCCCCGTCGTAGGAATGGCGGGCGCCTATGGGGGATTCCTACTGGCAGGGAGAGATGCCTCTGCGCTTCCCAATTTGGCGAGCGTGGCCGCCAACCGCGCTGTCTTGCCACAGGGCCACCGCCTGGCGGGTGTGGCCTGGTTCGCGTCGTATGCCGCGCCGCCGCCGCCCGCCGGCGCTCCGCTGCCCTCCGCGCTACCTCTCGGATGCCCCGCGCGCAACCGCAAGGTATGAAGTTCATCTCTGACCTACTCCTTCCCATCCGTGTGGCGGCGGGATGGGTGGGGGGGATGATGTGGGACAGGGAAGCAGGGGGGCTCTCCGTTGGCCACCGCGGCGAGGCCCTGGTGGCCGCGATCCAGGCACGCCAGCCAGCCAGCCAGCCACCTTTCAACTTTCCTTTTCACGTTCAATCGCCACCGCATTCCTAACCTTCTCTTCGCAGTTTTCTAGCGACGCGGTGGGGGGTGTGCATGCTAAGGGAGGGGGGGCAACGACGCCAGCCCCGCCACCACCCAGGGAAGGCGCACCCCCCCGCGCCCAGCAGAACCTCTAGCGGTGGCCACCAGTCCTTCGCTCGGGATCCCTACGCCTGCTAGCAGACGAGGGTCTCCGTCGTACGACTGGTGGGCGCCTAGGATTCCTACCGGCAGGGGGAGTTGCCTTTGTGCCTTCCAACTTGGCGAGTGTGGCCACCAGCCGCATTGTGGTCCCACATGGCCATCGCCTGGCGGGCGTGGCCCGGTGACGCCCCTTGCCGCACCGCCACCACCCACCACCACTCAGCCCTTTCCGCGCTGCCTCTCTGCAGCCCCACTCGCCGTGACGCCAGGTATCCCTCCTCCCTGCTCGCCTTCCTCTTGGGTGTGATATGTTTTCTTGTTTTTTTCCTCCCTCTCCTTTTTAACTGCTGTCGTTACCCTTCACATTGTAACATGTCCCCTATCCGGCGACTCCTGGAACGAATGATCCAGGAGCCGCTTGGCTCTGGATTTGATCACCCCCGCAGGGCCGACCGCAGGGCCGACCGGCCCTGGGTGGGGAGGTGCGTCCGACGGGTCCTGTCGCCTTCAGCTCGTCATCTCGTCAGAAGGAAGGTCTCCCCATCCCCCCTTTTTTTTCCATCCCACCTACGGTCGTGGTGTTGGAAATTTTGCCCATCAGCCGGACATTTCTTTCAGAAGGCCCGAGGCCTTCCGAGTCTTTGAGAACCCTGAGATCCGACGTTTCGAAACAAATTTGACATCGTAGACAGAACCACGACCGGAGCCCCAGGCCCTATCTCTCCGCCTCACTCTGTGAGGCGGATCAAGCTCTGAGGGCTCCAGGGTCGGGAGATCGGGCGAAAAAGGGCAATTTCTGGAAGAGTGTGAAGGCCCAGGTAAGAGGAAAGGCCCGCCCCCTTTGCATTCCCGGACATCCTCCGTCGCGTTTTTTTCGACCCGCGGGCTTCCCGAATTGGGTTCGATAGACGGGGACCGTGGGTCGCGCCGCATCGCCGATGCCTCGGCGATGCGGCTCGATCTGGTTTTCGAGTATCCCCCCGCCGATGGCAGCGATGCATCGCCGACGTCGCCGACGCATCACCGATGTGTCCGCGATGTGGCGCGATCCTCTTAGGCATAGGGCTTCTCGTTTTTTCGAGACGCGGGCCCCCCACTTCTCGACGGCTTACCTGGGACCGGCTTTTCACCCCGAGCCACTTTTCTGGCGGCCCCGAGGCTCGGTCAAGGCCCCGAACGGCCGAAACCTGTGGAACACCTCCGCCTTGATTTTTCGAGACGCCAGAAGCCCGGGCTCCTTCACAGGGTCGGGTGGGGGGCAATGCAGGGTGACCTGCATGGGGGGTGAAGACAAGTGTCCTCTAGGGCCTCCTCTGGGCCCCTGGTGGCTCCGAAGGGGCCCCTGAAGGGCGCCTTGGGGGTCTTTTCTCTTCGCCCCCCGCCTGCCACACGCCCGACCGGGAACTTGCCGCCGCGAGGAGCTCCGAGAGCTCTTCCTGGACCTCGGGGCGGCCGAGACGCTCGACCGCCCGCGCCTGGCCCGGCGCCTGGCCGCGGGCCGCGGTGCCCGCCCGCGGCGGAGCGCGCCGCCGGCCGCCGCCCGCGCGGCGGGCGACGCCGGCCCTGCCCGGAGCTCCGGTCCGAGGCGGAACGACCATTCGCCGGAGTGAATTCTGGTGGGGGCCCACAGGGGTCTCCCCAGCAGTGTCCCTCCTCCTCCTATTTTTTTTTGCGCATGTGTCTCGCATGGCACGTCGTCCAGGCACGCCAGATTCCAGAGGCCACGGCCTCGCCCACCCGGTCTTGAGTAGGCCCCGGACGCTGTCCGCAACGGTGGTCGCATCGCATCGCGCCACAGGTGTCTCCCCAGCACTGGCCTGCACGATGGGATTCGGCGCCCCTGCGGCCCTGTCAAGCTGCGCACCAAAGGTCGTTTTTGCGCAGGGTCACTCTTGCGTGTGGTCTCCATTGCCACCGCTTGGGGGATCAATCTTCGCGGACCCACACAGGCGGTGGGTATGGACATATTCGGCCCCCCAGGGGCCAAAATGTATCCATATCCGACATGGATGAATTTTCGCCTCGCAAGCAGGAACAGCGTCTTCAGGCGGGCTAGTTGGTGGCGGCGATGTGGGCGACCCTCAGATCCAGGCGTTGCAATTCTTTTGCGCTAGGCAATTTCGGCAGGTTTCGGGCCCCGGCACCCTCACAGTTCGATCCGGTTCGAAAATTAAGCATACAGATGGGGTCTAGGGGTCCAGTCTTGATTGCTAAGGCCTTACGGCCGGTGCCGCCGACCCTGAAGACGACGACGACGAATACGAGGATGAGGAGGGAGGAGGGGGATTAAGGTGGAAGGGAGCAGGAGAAGGCGAAGGAGATGTTCCCCATGTGGGCCGAGGGAGTCGTAGCAGAGACAGAGGGAGCCTTGTGGCCTGCGGCCCTTCCCGCCACCGTGCTGGGGTTGTGGTTGAAAGGCCTCTTGGATGTTTTCGGGCCTGTTTGGGCCTCTGTTCGGCCTCTTGCGGGTCTCTTGGGGGCCTCTTCGGGCCACTTGAGGGGCTCTTGGGGCCTTCCCAGGGCTTCTTGGGGCGGAAAGCTCGAAATGTCGATTCGTGGTCCTCTTCTTGGGCTGCTTGGGGCCCTCTTGGCGCGTCTTGGCGCTTTTTTGGGCTCCGGGACGGGCCTGGGGGTGGATGCGTATCTGACCCCCCACCCCCGGATCTCCCCCGGGACCCCCCCCTCGGCGGGGGAGGGATCAAAGGGAAGGGGCTTCCCTTCGACTTACGTGCGACGTTGCTACGGTTTCCTCTCGCTGGCAGGCTTGAAGAGGAGGGTGCAGGGAAAGGGGACGACGGAGACGCAGGGAAAGCGGACAACGGGTACGTCGACTGAGCGCACGCCGACAGGGGATCCGCACGCCGACAGGGTCGGCGGATCTTTTACGATGTTGAATTTTTTCTCAACGTCGGATCTCAGGGGAGTGGGGAGTTGGAGAAGGTGGGGCTTCTCTCTCGTCCACTATCACATCTGCTTCTTCTGGCCTCGTCAGCGCTCACCGTCACCGCGCTCGAGGAGGCTCTGCCGCTCGTTGCCTGCACGTGGCCGCGAGGCTCATTGACGCTCCGGGCGGAGTGGCGCCCGCCAGCCCGTTTGAGAAAAATGGAGGAGCTGCTGTCGGGTCCCAGGGCCACGAAATATGGATCTGGGATGAAACTCGCCGCAGTGCCGATGCATCCGCGATGCGGCTCCATGGGGAACCCGATATTCTCCGCGCTGACTTCGCCGATGCATCTCCGACGGCGGCGATGCATCGACGAGAGAAGCGGCGTAAACATACCAGGCACTCCGAAGAACAAAGAGCACAGACCTTCAGTTCGTTGGAAGCAACATGACGAAGTTTTGTCGCCGTTTTCGGCTGTCTTGGGCCCTTGCCAGGCCACGGTGCCGTCAAAGCGTTGCGGGACTTTGGGATGAGCTTCCCAGATTTCCGAGGATGGGACTTGTTCCGATGCGGGCGACTCTCCTCGGTTTCGTCCTCTGGGGCCTGCTATCGGCCCCGGGGCCACCAAATATGGATCCGAGACGAAAAAGCTGCGCCCAGGAAAGGGATCAGAAGCTCTGGGGCCGCGGAAATCTATTCATAACATCAGAACACGAAGAAGAAACACAAAGAAGACCTTCAACGTACCCTGAGATCCTGGCGACGCGATTTTTTCACAGCAGGCGCTTTCACGCAGTCTCATGCCCTGGGGTCCTCACAGATCGATCCGCCTCGAGGATTGCGACAGTCAGCCGGGGTCCTGGGCTCCGGTCGTGATGCTCCGCAATGTTGTATGTTGGACTCCAGGATTTCGGGCCACGCACGCGGCGGCTTCCGCAGGCGTATGCAGGTCGAGGCCCTTTGCAAATGGTTCACGTGCGAACCCAGCCCTGCGTGCTTCCAGCTTCCCCCCGAGAACGCTCGGAGGTCCGAGCGGGAATGTCGTGACGACTCGTCGCATTATGTACACTGTTCATTTCTAATTCTTCGAAGGTTGTCCGATTTTTTGGGGGGCCAAGATCCTTTCATTTCTAATTCTTCTATCCTGGGCCTCTTCCTGGCCACTGGGGGGCCAGGAACAATTAGAAACGAGCACAATTAGCAGACGGCCTCGAAGCGGGTCACCAACGCGAAGACTAAGCTGCTCGGTGGTTGGCACCCCACGCAGGCGGGCGTGCGTGTAGCCGAAGCGGCAGTGCGGCTCACAGACTGTGAGGTCCGCGCCTTTTAAGGGGTGGCCTAGTGGCTGCCCGCCGTCACAGCTCGCGTGCAGCCGTTGCGCCGCGAAGCATTGCCACGGCACAAAAAAATGAGCGCGAGTAGAAATGAATGACGTGTAGTTCCATTCTCCAATGAGCATGGAGACGGTGATAGTCACAAGGGGATTTTGGATCGGCACCTCCCCTCCCTTGGCGCGCGAAGTTGAAGCGCGCCGGGGGCGGCGCCTCTGGGGGGTCCAGCGCCGATTGGGGAGGAACGACTTGGTGCTTCGCGCGGTGGTGGTTGCTGCTGTCTGCCTGCGCAGTTGCGAGCTGCCCGAGCAGGTCTAACCACCATTTCGTAATTGGTGGTTGCTCGTTTTTGCAGACGGTCCATGCAGGACCCCCGCCTCGCCAACCATCATCTGAGATTACGAAGTCGCGGTTAGTATTCATTTCGAGATCTTTTCTTGATGTTCCAAACTGTTTTTGCACACCGTCTCAAACACCAATGCCCCAGCCGCCATTCCAGATAATCAAAACCGATGGTTGCTGCTGTCTGCCTGCGCAGCTGCAAGCTGCCCGCGCAGGCCCGATCACCATGCCGTGATGTTTGTGTGGCGGTCGCCACGGGTTGCAGGCCCGACGGTCCGAGAAGGATCCCCGCCAAGCGCCGGCGACCACTTGGGGATCACGAAGCGACGGCTCGGAATTTCGGACTCCTCCTCCTCCTCCTGTCTTGATGCTCCGAACTTTATCTGCACACCGGGTCAACCATGCGTGCCCCGGCCGCGGTTCCTCTGAACTGGAGAGGTGGGTCTGGCGCAGGGGGGTCGGCGGCGAGAGGGGCAAGCGTTCATGAGTTGTGTGCTTCAGTCAGCCCGCATCGTAAGGATGAGCGACTTCCCAAGGCTATTATTGCATGCTGGCCCCTTCGGGGCCCATCCTCAGCTACTTTCGCTGGCCAGCCTTGTTCGGGAAACGCTAACACGGCCCTTCAAGGCCCTTGCATCCTTACCGGCTGACGGTATTTCCCGCATAACTCTTTGGAGAGGTAAGAGGGTTTCGGATAAGAAGCCGGCGGCGCAGGGTAGGCCAGCTCCTCTCCAAGGCTCCCGGCCAGGCATCCCCAGAGCGACTTGCTTGAGCTCGCAGTGTGTTCCGGCAAGCGTTTTCCTCCTCCTTCCCAATACGCGTGCCTCAAGCCTTCCCGCAGGTCCTTCGCAGCTCCCTCGAAGTTCCTTCGAAGCTCGTTTTTCGAAGCTCGCAAGCTCCCCAGGCATGCTTTCCAGCGTCCTGGCAAGCGTCTCCCACAGGCATTTCCGCGCTTGCAAGCTCGCTAGGCATGCTTTCCAGCGGCCTTGCAAACGACTCCTGTAAGCGTTTTTTTACGCGATTTTGACTCCGCTGCTATCGGGGTTTTGGACTGCACAAATGCACCCACTAGTGCGCAACCATTGCGGGGAGGCGCGAACCAGTGCACGGGCGAGAACTATCGAGTGTGAATAAAACTACACAGCTGGATCCACGCGGAACTCTTATTCAGCCTGCAAATTCTTGCATCCAGGCACCAACTGTCGCAAGTGCTATTGCACTTCACCCCGCGGACCCGTCGGCGTCAGACCCAAAGAGACGATACTGCCACCCTTCCCTGGAGATCCGGGCGTCGCATTTCGTTCACAACGAGCGGTTTTGCCCTGTTTCGGGCCCTGGGGCCTTCACGGATCGATCAGACTCGAAAAATGCAGCAGACAGATGGGGTCCAGGGCTTTGGTCAAGGTTTTTCCCTGGCTTGGGGTTCCCGTTTATCGTCCTCCTAAGGGGGTCTGGGGGTGTACCACCCGAAACCTGGCCCCGGCCAAGGGAGAACGCCGGCGGAAGACGGCCGCTCACGGCCCCATTTCGCCAGACGCGCTTCCGGGCGGCACGGACGGCTCCAACATGGTCCGACAGATCGTCCCAGAGGGCAGAGATTCGCCGAAACACCGGTCCAAGACGCCGAAGATGGCTCCAAGTGGGACACGAAGTCCCCAGGACCGCCCAAGAGGCCTCCAGGATGGCCTCCAAGAGGGCCCGGAGAGGCAAATTTCACATATTTCCAGATTGTTTTCGATTCTTTTCGTATTTCCACTTCTTCGGCTTCCAAAGCGTGCCCCAGGACAGCCCCAATGGCTCCCGCGAGAGCGTCCACGCGGACGAAGGGGCCCCCAAGACGACTCAAGAGCCTTCCAATACTGCCCACGAAGGCGCCAGGAACGCCCTCAGAGAGGCCCCATGGCCCGCAAGACGGTCCAAGAGGACACAAAGTCGCCGAGAGATCGGTCCAAGATGCCCAAGATGGCTTCAAAATGGGCCACTGAGCCCCCTGGACCGCCCAAGACGCCTCCAGGAGGGCCTCTGAAAGGGCCAGGAGAGGCAATTTCATATATTTTCTCATTTTTCTATGTTTTTATAATTTCCACTTCTTCGGCTTCCCCACGCGCGCAGAAGCCCAAGATGCCCCAAATCGCGCCCCAGGATAGCCCCAGTGGCCCCCGCGAAAGCGTCCACACGGACGACGAGATCCCCCAAGACGGCTCGGGAGGCTTCCAATACTGCTTAAGCAGGCGCCCGGAGCGCCCGCAGAAGGGCCCAGTGGCCCGCAAGATGGTCCAAGAGGGCACAGAGTCACCAGAAGCACCAGTCCCACGACGCCCAAGATGGCCTCAAAACACGACACGGCGTCCCCAGGACCGCCCAAGAGGCCTCCAGGAGCGTCTCCAAGAGAGCCCGGAGAGGCGAAGATGAAAATGATATATTTCCCGACAGGTTTTCAATGTTTGTCGCATTTCTACTTTTTCGGCTTCCTGACGAACCCACAAGCCCAAGAGGCTCCAAAGCGCGTTCTAGGACTGCCCCAACGGCCCCCGCGAGGGCGTCCACACGGACGAAGAGACCCCCCAAGACGGCTCAGGAGGCCTCCAAGAGGACGCCAGGAACGCCCTCAGAGAGGCCCCATGGCCTGCAAGATGGTCCAAGAGGGCCACCAGTCGCCGAGAGATCGGTCCAAGACGTCCAAGATGGCCTCAAAATGGGCCACGAAGCCCCCAGGACCGCCCAAGACGCTTCCAGGAGGGCCTCCAAGAGGGCCTGGAGAAGCAAAATCAATACATGTCCTGAAGGGTTGCCGAAGTCTTTCGCATTTCCGCTTCTTCAGATTCCCAATGCTCCCCGATGGCCCAAGAGGCCCGACAGTGCCTCGTTCAATATCAACTCAGAGCCCACCCGACACGACCTCCAACGATTCTTCAGAGTTCACATGAGCCTGCAGAGCCCCCAAACTCCATTCTTTCGCCCGTCAGCTTCTTCGCCCCAGCGTTGTGGTCCCATCACCCCTTTGGCTGGTGGCTCGTGTAGAAGCGTACTGAGCACACCTCGTGGCTCGCATGTTCGCGTGCTGGGCTCACGCCCAAGGCGCACCGTCGTTTCTTCGGCCCCCTGTCAAGACGCCCAAGATGGCCTCAACATGGCCTATGAAGCCCCCAGGACCGCCCAAGAGGCCCCCAGGAGAGCCTCCAAGAGGATCCAGAGAAGCACACATCATATATTCTGGAAGGTTTTCGATGCTTTTCGCATTTCCGCTTCTTCGGATTCCGATGCTCCCCGATGGCCCAAGAGGCCCGACAGCGCCTCTTTCCATGTCAACTCAGAGCCCACCCGACACGACCCCCGACGATTCTTCAGAGTTCACAGGAGCCTGCAGAGCCTCACAACTCTTTCGCCCGTCAGCTTCTTCATCCCCGCGTTGTGGTCCCATCCGCCCCTTTGGCTGGTAGCTCGCATTGACGCGTGCTGAGCTCACCTCGTGGCTCCCATGTCCACGTGCTGTGCTCACCCCCAGACGCACCGTCGTTTTCTCAGCCACCTTTCCCACCAGACAGCTTTGCCCACGACTTCCGCCAGGTTCTTCGCCCCGACGTGGTCTTCTCAACCCCGACGTAGTGCACCCATGCCCCCGCTTCGGCCAGTGGTTCGCATGGAAGCGTGCTGAGCTCCCCTCTAACGTCAGGGTCCGTGGCAATATCAGATCACTACAGTGTTGCAGAATTTTCGCAACGTTGGATCTCAGGGCCCTCTCGTTTTTCCTTCTTGGGCTTCCTTGGAGGCCTTCGTCGCGCCCAGAGGTCCGCACCGTTTTCCCAAGGGTAGTTTTTCGTCCCAGCTCCATTTTTGGAGGTCCCAGGGCCCGTTCACGGGCCCCAGAGGCCGAAATCTGGGAAACACGTCAGGATTGAGCAACATCCGATCCTGCGAGATCGGGGAGCCGCGGCATCGGCATCTGAGGCATTCCATAAAGGGCCTCGCCTTCGAGGATCGAAGGAGTGGTCATTGCTGCCTCGGCGGGAGCGGAAGGGCGGCGGAAGGTGGCGGAAGTACATCGAGGGCGGCTCCGCTGGCGGAAGGAAGCCAGCGGAAGGGCAGCGGAAGGAAGCGACGCGCCCCCCTAAGAGACGACAGCATCTGTGGGTTCAGGGCTTCTGGGACCCGCCATCTTGGTCTCCGTAGGAGCGGGCCCGTGAACGGCTTCGGCCTGTCGGCGGAGGACTTGCTGGGCGCGGGCGCGGCCGGCAACGGGGGCGATCGGGGGGCACCAGCCGTGCAGTCGGACCGAGGTATGAGATCGAGGTCGGTTCAGGGAGGGTGCACTGATGCTCTTCGTGTTTGTCGGATGTTCTTGCGCATCCTGGGGGAGGGCACCCTCGCATGTTCGTCAGTTTGGCCAGCGGAGAGTCTCATGTTCTTGAAGTCTGTTTTTCTGTCCTGGGTCCGACCGTACACCTACACCATTTGGAAAAAGTGCTGTTCAGACTCTGGGCCGCCCAGACTCTGGGGGGTCCTCCCTCCTCCTCCTTCTCCCTCTCCTCCTCCTCCTCCTCCTCCTCCTCCTCCTCCTCCTCCTCCTCCTCCTCCTCCTCCTCCTCCTCCTCCTCCTCCTCTTCCTCCTCTGGACCTCTGGATGGTGGCAGTTCTTGTGCATGGCATCGTCCTCTTCCTCCTCTTCCTCCTCCTCGTCCGCTTTTCCTTCTCCTCCTCCTCCTCCTCCTCCTCCTCCTCCTCCACCTCCTCCTCCTCCCTCCCCTCATCCTCTGCCTCCTCCTCCTCCTCCTTCTCCTCCTGCAGCTCCTTCTGCCTCCCCTCGTCCTCTTCCTCCTTCTCTTTCTCCTTCTGGACCCCGAGAAGCCCCCAAGCGAGCTGCCAGAGAGCCCCGAGACGGCTTCAGGAGTGGCCCAAGATGGCCCCAAGAGAAGCCCAGGAGTTATGTACCAGCGGGCCCCCGCTTGGTACATAACTCCTGGGCCCCTCTTGGGGCCATCTTGGGCCCCTCGTGGAGCCGTCCTGGGGACCTCTGGGGGCCCAGAGGGCCCTCGAGGGCCCTGAGAAGCACCCGAAGAGGGCCCCCAGAGGCCCCAATACGGCTCCAGGAGGGGCCCAAGATGGCCCCAAGAGAAGCCCAGAAGTTATGCACCAGCAGGCCCTCGGTTGGTACATAACTCCTGGGCCCCTCTTGGGGCCATCTTGGGCCCCTCGTGGAGCCGTCTTGGGGCCCTCTGGCGGCCCAGAGGGCCCTCGAGAGCCCTGAGAAGCACCCGAGAGGGCCCTCAAAGGGCCCAAAGATGGCTCCAGGAGGGGCCCAAGATGGCCCCAAGAGAAGCCCAGGAGGTATGTACCAGCGGGCCCTCGCTTGGTACATAAGTACTGGGCCCCTCTTGGAGCCCTCTCGGGGCCTTCTTGGGCTCCGCCGGAGGGCCCTGGGAAAAGTCCAGGATGGCCCCAAGGCTGCTCCAAGGGGGCCCCAATACGATCCCAATAAAGCCCCGAGATCGGTCACCCAGACGATTCCAAGAGGGCCCAGAGACGGCCCCAAGACGGCTCCAAGAGGTCGTCGTCACGTCGTCGTCGTCGTCGTCGTCGTCGTCGTCGTCGTCGTCGTCGTCGTCGTCGTCGTCGTCGTCGTCGTCGTCGTCGTCCTTCGTCGTCGTCGTCGTCGAATTCCATGTGTTTTTCCCGTGCGGCCCCCCTGAACGGGCAAACCAACTACGATTTTTGCACATTGCGACCGAAAGCGCTTGTCGCGCGCATTCACCGCCAACGCGCAGAGGCAAGGGCTCCAACGCAAAAATGTTGAAATCTCTATGGGTTTTTGACTCATCGGGGGGGGCCGCACGGGAAAAACACATGGGAAAGTTGACGTCGTCGTCGTCGTCGTCGTCGTCGTCGTCGTCGTCGTCGTCGTCGTCGTCGTCGTCGTCG